AGCCTTCTTAGATTTCCCTTCTTGGTTATCAGATTCTAGCTCTGTTTATTGTCTCTGAGCTATTTTGCAACTCTTTGTAAGTTGCAGGTAACTAATAGATATATATAAACTCTTCTCTGTGCAGTAGTGATTTTAATTGAGTACCTTTTTTCTGTGGAAAACGGTTTTGTCCACATTTGCAATTAATTTCAACATTCCTTTACTCCATATGAATTTTTGTTCCTTTTCCCTTCATTCAGTTACAACATCTACCTGATTCCCTCATCTAAGTAAAGTAAAATCTTTAATGTGCATTCCTTTTTATATCTGTATGAGAATCATAGCTTTACTTTTTCCTAAAAATGATCTTTTAGCACATTTCTCACCAATGGCTCATATTGCTCTCCTGGGCAGACGAACGCCCATACGTTTTCACACAAACTACTGTAAAGTTGTGCTCCCGAATTCTGTATTTAATAATGTGACATTAACACATTTCATTTCATATGATGCCAGTTTCCCAGAAAAATTCTGGACTTTCATGTGAAATACCCAGAATCAGTTTTGCCAGTACAATTATGAATTCAAATGTCAAATGATTCATTTTATACCTCAGCACCAAGAACATTACATCCTCCTAGTGGAAGGGAGAATTTCTAATGATCAGTCTTTGAGCTTCCACAAGCCATTTAGTAAAATTTTAGACACTTTGTGTACAACAGAATTAGTTTGTCAATAATGAAAGATATCATTGAGTGTTTCTAAGCAAATTCATACATTGCCTCTATTCTCAGAAGTGTATACTTTAGTGACTAAGGTTCTGAGAGATTGTAATTCATTATGTTTTAGAGGAAACTTACTTGAAGTTATATTCTAAAACTGTCTTTTAAAAAAGATTAGCCCATGACTCATAAATTGGAGTGGTTCGTTTTTTGTCTTGTCAAGGAAGAAGAAAACGTACTTCACTGACAAGGAAAAATAAACATTGCATCTTTGGCAAAGGTGTAGTTTAAATATTTAGAAAATTGTGATTCATAAGTCAAAAAAGGTAATGATATAATATCATTTCCAGAGCTGTATCTGTGCAAGCACTTTTTCTACTCATATAACATTAATTGGTTTTAAGGTATCATTTGTGTAAGTTATTATTAACATTGAAAATATAAATCATGAAGATTAAATGACACAATTAATTTACAAAAAATAAATTCATCTAACGTTTATTTTGTAATACCTTTTAAAAAATATTATGCCAAGCTTGGCAAACTTTAACAAATGTTTAATTTCTTATAAATCATTTTTTGAATGTGACTATTTTAGAGGAATTATAGATGAAAACAGAGTTTTGGTTGACAAATTGAAAACTTCACAAAGAAAGAAGCATAGTTTTATTTATTGATATAGCTAATATGTTTATGGCATCTGTGAGAGCCACGTATACAGGTAGACTGTGAGATGGGTTGATGATTACCAATTTTGTTCTGACGTTATGAAAATAAAAACTCAAATGTTACACAAAACTTATTCTTTGAGTTGGGGTAGATGGTTATTGAAAAAGAATAATTAGATGCTTTCTAGTTTGGGGATTTCAGTAGCTGGGTGGACACTGTTGTCCTGACCTGAAATGGGAAAGACTTATGGTGAGGGGGAAGGTTTTGGAGCTGGGGTAAGAATGGATAGTTCTGTTTGTAACAAACTTACTTCTAGAATTCACATTTTATTGTAGATGTGTTTTTACTTGCATGCAGTAGAGGGTGACTGTAGTCTTCCTGGGACTTGAGCCTTTATTTCTGTTATATCAGTCTCAGGTTCAGCTGTTTGTTTAGCAGTCATGTGTGGAAAAGAAAGATGTATTGCATGGGAAACTATGCATCTTCCTTAGATTACCATCTGTAAAATGCTTACTTTAAAAATCTTAGTTGAACTTACTTTTATCCATACTGGGTTGACATTTTTGGTATATTTTTAACAGTTCTAAGACAAAATATTTCACTTGTCATTGAGAGCTTATACACTGGACTTGGGGAAACGTGGGGACTATCCTGATGAGGCCTCTCATTTACGTTTCCTCATTTGTGAAAGAGAAAGTATTTAGTTTCTGGAAACTTGGGGCTGCCTCCCCCTCCTTATGTTAGACTACATTTTGAATTGGCCTTAGAGTTCCTTCAGATAAAGCAACAAGCAATAAATGGATATTTTCATACTTCTGTAAGCTCTCTTCTTGAAGGAGAGATCCCTTGTAGTATTCACCGTTTTAGCTCCAGAACCTACATTGTTGATGGTTGAGGGTAGATCTCATAGAGGTGTCTTTGCCTTACTGGGGAGTCTTTGTATGGCTTATAGGGTACAATTCCAAGGTCAAAAGGAAAGTGACTGACCCTATCCCCAACATTTCTCAAGGACCCATGGTGATAGAGAATCACAACTCTCTTACCACATTTGGTACCCTAAGAGGTAGATTTCTCTTTATTCTGTATAAGAAATATTTTGAAAAGAAGCAAACATCATTTCTAATCAAAGAGATGTTTTTCAAAGGAATTCTTCAAAATGTACATGTTCTTTTCCTTTGGGACAGTACATAAGATCTACCTTCTGGAAAGGTACACACATATCAAATCATGTGCTTCTTCCTTAAAAGGAAAAATTCATGTTTGGTCAATCCTCTTTACTTCCCATAAAGAAAAATTAACACATTTCTTAGAGTGTCCAGAGAGTCTCAAGCTAATAATGAGTATTTTATGGAAATTTTCTCATAATTGAAGATTAAAGATTGATGTTTAGTTTATGATTTTATTTCAGTAATCTCCATATTTATTTTTAACCCATTCCACAAATAGGGGTAACATAAGTTGACTAAAGCAGTATAACAAAGATTTTATGTTTGATGGATTTGGGAAGAGGGAGGAATAAGAAGTTTTTTCACCCTTTTCTCACTTGTTCCCAGCAGTGATCTCAAGTTTCAGGACAGTCTGGATGGCAAATAGGCGAATAGAGAAAAGTATGCTTTGTTTCTGTGGCAGTCTCAGAGCCAATGACTTCTCTGGGAGAGAGGTAGCTTATCCAGCCTAAAATTTTGAGACTGAAAACTTGGAGGGAAGCTGGTCCAAGATTTCTGGAATAAAACCCTTGGTGCTACTGCCAGAATAGAATAGATGTCTGGTTTGTGATATTAGTTATCTATTACATTCTTGGAAAGGCTAAACATCAGCTTCCCTGGTACCCAGCCAATGGCGATAGGTCAATTACTGCTGCTCTAAATGAATATTTTTAAGCAATTTTTCCCCTTGGCATTATTTAAAGCATAAGTGGTTAGATTTATTATTTTATTTATTTATTTTTTCATCAGTGTATACATGTCAATCCCAATCGCCCAATTCATCACACCACCCCCCCACCCCCCTGCCGCTTTCCCCCCTTGATGTC